ACTCGTTGATTGGACTTAAAAATAATGATAATAAAAATAATGATAATTTTAAGGGGGAGAGGCTGATTAAAATGTGCACTTAAATACAACAAAACAAATAAGTGGCCGGATAAATAGCTTACGAAGTATTACAGTGAATCTATATCGTACAAAATATAAATATTTATAAAGATTTACTTTTGGCAAAGCTTGTAGTAGGCTTACACATATTTGTAAGTAAATGTAAATGTCCATATGTAAATGTTTTAAGTGCATGCACCTAAGGGATGAAGAATAATTACACAACAAAGATTGTGTTGCCTTAATGATATTATAACTATCTGCACCAATAAATTATAAAGTTGAAACTGTTTGTATTTTGTTAAATGTCCTGTTAAATGTCCATTTTTTACAGTAAAATGCAATCGTTTTTAAATATAAAAGCCCTACTAGTCATGATAAAAATAATATTTGTCTTGTGGTTTTAAAATGTTTTACCTCAACTGACAATCCATGTAAACTGATCTGTTTGGAGATCAAAAGTGAAGTGCCTTTTTCGATTATGTAGCAACATGGACCAGTCGGTGGTGGCTGTATTAAATTGACGAATTTAATAACCAAACTAAATTAAAGTAACCAATCTGAACTTATACACGTAGTAAGGCAGATCAGAAACCCCGAGTGTATAAATTACCAGGATGTTATGCGTGAATGGCTATTTGATAATCAATAGAAGGTTGTCGCCTATAGGAAGGATTTGGTTAACCAGAGCCAAGCCAGGCATCTCGGATATTGGATATATTGTCCCTAGCTGACCATCGTTATCAAATGGCTACCGAAGATTCATAAGCATTATCAAATCTCGTATTGTTTGTCGCCAACCAAAATTATTGCAAGAGATTGTACTATTTGAGGAGAAGATTAGTAATCCAAATACCGTTGTAAGTCAAATACTTTACTCACGAATCGTTTCTTACATATTAAATCTTCATATTCATGATAAACTTTTACTATTTATTCAATTACCGTATGTCTTGTATTATTTATGTCTTGTTACTCCTAGGTATAAGTAGTTTTTTTCACTGTCTTAGAGCTTGCATGTATCCCTATTGTATTGTTCATCAGTTTTGCATTGTTACTTAGTTTTAGTATTTAGTCATGATGAGTATCTCACTATATTGTAATTCTTATTGTAAATTGGTGAAATCCGTTGGCAATAAATAAATAAATAAATAAATGACGACTTTAAGTATCTAAATGTAAAAAAGTTGGTAAATAAATAACATAATGGCTAAGTACTAGGAATTTATAACACTAAGTATGTAGTTATTGATTTAAGTTATACTTCAATAATGTAACTTATACTGACTCTAGCATCTATAGCAAAATTATAATCTTCAGGCAATCCACCACATTATGACTAAGGGTGAGGATTTTTAAGGGAGACTTCTGTAGATATGGCTTGCTATTTTAAACAATGATTTCTGTCCGGTGGTAAAACATTTTGTAATTACTGACGAACAATAAAAAGTGTTAAGGAACTATGGTAACAGTAGTTTCCAATCAATGTAGAATTTTCCCTGAATTAACACTGAAAACACCATCACAAATCACATCATAACTCGATTGTTGTTGTTATTCATGTTAACACGGATGGTTAATCATTGAGTTTTAATCATGCTTATTTGGTAAAAATAACCTTATATTTGTTAAGCATTGTGCTAGTTGTAGTATTTGAAAAATGCAGGGTATAATCTGTTAATTTTACTGTTATTGTTTTGATAAATTGCCACGATTCTTAATTCACTAATTTTATAATCACTGTATTAGTATTTACCGAAAAATCTATGAAATCTTCAAACTTAAGTGTTGTAAAACTAAATATATCTCCGTATAAAATAGGTTTTCCTACAGTTACCTAACAATGTACATGTTCTCTCACTGATTTGAGAAATCATAGTGGCCAATTCGCTCATCAGTGAGACAATGTTAACATTGTCTCACTCTAATTTACATTGTCTCACTCCAGATTTGCAACGTGAAGGCACGAAATATTGAGCGCGTAACATGCAGACAAGGTCGTATACGCGCGAAATACGTTGGCAGCACTGGCTGTAAATCAGCTGGTCAGCTGTTGTACTGTTGTTGATCGTGTTGATTAGTCGTATTGAAAGTTCACTTCTGTGTAAAAATATGCCACGTTTCTTTACTAATTTATTTGTTTTATTGTAAATGTAGGAAAAATATAATGTGCAACTCGAGTGCAAAGTGCAATTGCCTCACTCGAGAAACCATTCCTCACTCGCCTATGGCTCGTGAGTAGGGATTTCTCTCGAGTGAGTCAATTGCTCACTTTGCTCACTAGCTGCACAAATAACGATTTTGTAACCTATCATCTAGTCTACACGTTCTTTTTAATTATCTATGGGCTCAACTGGTCTATTGGAATTCTGATCAAGAGGCCTGAGTTCGATCCACGACAATTTGCTATGTGACTATTCTGAAGTCCAGTGATTATGAACCCTCCCTAAGCTATTGATCCACATATTAAGTAAAAGCTCTAAGGTGTGATCAATTATTTTTGTCTTTAAATTGGAGATTCGTCTCCATGGAAGCTGTAACGAAATGATCATAAAGCAATGTCATGGAACTGTGCTCTGGCAGCTGGCCTTTGATTTTGCAAATATTGCATCGAGCATAATTTTGTACATTGTAATCAAAATAATGTAAAGCCATTTAAATCTTAAATGTAAGTATAATCTAAAAATTGTTTCTATGTCACAGAACTTTAACTCCGAACGGAGTTAGGGGTAGAAATTGTATTTAAATGCGTAACCAAACACAAATATATAAAAAAAAACTTATTACCAACAACGTGGTCTAAAATTCCGATCTTACATTTACACAAATGAAACTTTAAAAATTGTGTTGGCCAATAACTCTTCCTATAAAACAATGAACTAATATTTTAAAGTTAATTTCGACCCAAACTGGATTTGAAGATCACAATGAGTGGCGTTTTTGTTTTGACATACTTTCATGTAAGATTTGTAAGCCTCTAATATATGTAGTTAAGCACATTTATTGAAATCCCAATAAATTTTTACAGTCACTGTGATTAATGGAGCTTATATGCTTAGGAGCTACTGAACCAAAAATAAGTTTTATAGTATAAGTGGTGTTAACACACTGCTTAAGCCATTGGTAGTAGATTATTTAGATTTCATAACCTTTGAAAATTGGTTTTGATTTGTTATTTAGATATTATGAAACAAACAATTATAAATTTAATCCACAGTAAAGCTTATATGGAAAGCTTCTCTCAGAGGGTATTTAAAAATCTTACACATTTTTATAAATTATGATATGATGAAAGTTGTGTATTGTTATTGTCAAATTATGAATCTATTGTAATTCACTAATGCCTGCTAATGTAGTCAATTCGGATTATACCAGGTATTTTTTCATAATTTACCATTATCTAATTGACTATATTCTTATACCTTTGTTTAGAAACTGATTTTTAAGTTAGGTTTCATATTGTTAAGTAATCCGCATTTAATTTTACACCTTACAGCTTATTAATATCATCGTTAATTATTGATTACATCAACGTAAAAAAAATAAATGATAGTCTTCCATATTGTTTCTACCATAGGAGGACATGAATGTTATCCTCATGAATTATGGATACCACTCAGTTTCGGCGTGAAATTATCCAATATAAATGAATACAACAGCGGTATTATACCCGCTCTATATTCCTGTTGACGATACTTCATAATCCAGTTTGCCTTATTTCCGCTTAAGCTTATTTTGTATAATATTAAATGATGGCACATTTCATCTTGATGTATGACGAGTAAGTAGGACATCATCGTACAGTTTGTGTATTAACATCAGTAGATAGTATTAAAGAATTAAATTTCATCTTATTATCCTTTGTTGTTAATGTGTTGAATTAGAATGATTTATTGTGAATGCTGTTTAAGTTGTCAGCTGAGGCTGATACAAATACACAAATCGTAAATGGATACTTTAGTTTACATGTACAAACTTTGCTCTGATAATCACTCTAAGACCAATTATACATTTAAAAAAATACTTCACTACTACTTTAAATGGGGGATATTCTGACATTTTTAAGGAAATATTTTTGTAAAAATCCAATCAGACAAATGGAAATTCGCTAGTCTGCAGGATTGCTACCGTGAGGATAATTCTATGTTAGCATATAATCAAGCCTGACAAATGTTGTATCCTAAAATAAGCGTGGAGAATATTAGAGGTTCAGTAAAAAAATGAATGCTATGTTATGTAAGCTACGATATCCAAACACAGTCATGTCCAGAGCCGACGATTGTGCAGTGACCAGTGCAACCCAGACTTAGTATACTTGTTTTGTATTCAAAATTCTTTTTGTATATTATTCTGTGTGTACCTACGCATCAAATTTTTAAAGAAATTGAACTCTGGAGCTTTATCTATAACACTTGATCACTTGAATCTATCAACACTTAAAACTACGTCTAACTTAAAAGTGTACTAAACTATCCTTGAGATATCCAAATAAAAATTTGATTACAACAATGTGCATACTTTCGTACAGCTCATACAAAAATTATAATGATAGAGGCGCGTAGTAGAACAAAGACCTAGTTTGGGTATTGTCCTTGAAATGAAATCAAATGGTCTTTAACTTTTTCTATTTGCACAGTTATTTTTCTTTTTACCCTCATGGGCAATGTCCTCGGAATAGATTAAGGGGAAATGATATCTTGCAAACAAGAAAAAATTGTATACATAGACGAGAGCCTTTGTATTGACTAGAGCTGGGAATGAACTAAACATTTTGGGAAGTAGAATTTATAAAAGCCTTAAAATTAAATATGAAGGATAATGTTTTCCCATTTTGGTTATAAAAGGGAAGTATATTATAATTAAAAACACCACGGTGTAATTGATGTTATACTTATATTAAAACTAAAAAAAAGTAAAAATAAATTGTGTAGATTACTTACCGCTTCCAGGAACGTAAATGTTGAGTCTTAAACAGTCCTCGCTTTGGTTTTGGAGAGAAGGTATCAGCCTGAGAAGTTTGAGGTAGCGAGACCTCGGCATCACCTCCAAGGCCTCCGTCTCGTTGCTGATGTCTGGCAGTGCCTGAGGACACACAGGAGGGGCGGAGTCCGCCAGCCGGATGCCGGTCCATGGGGGTGGAGGTTGAGGAGGGCGGAATCTTCTGAACTCTGTCGGAGGCGCGGCGTACGGAACTCCGTAGAAGATCTCCACAGGCTCTCGTGAGTTTGAGCTCTGAATAATCTGAAACAAGGGAATTCATCAATGATAAGTTATCTATTTGAATCTGATGGCAAGTATTGTAACTCCATATCGCGGTTTGCAGGCTTTTATAATTAATTTTTATAACATTGATTGCAGGAATTTCAAGAAATATATATTTCCAACTCAATCGTTTTCCTTTGTCAATCAGGGAATTCCTTTGCTAATACGGATAAATCATGGAAGATATAATGCCAAACGCTGATCAGTTCAAAGGCTCCCGTGAAGGTTAATACAGGTTTCGCCACCATGCAGACATCCTTAAACGGTCTATGGGTTAGGCAAAAGTCTGGAACCCCCCAGTTGACTTTTTAATGCATTGCAGTAGGAAAACCAAACTCGGAACATATTTACAACATGAGAAATTGCACTTTTTCATCAAAGTTACAACTTTGCCCCAGCCCCCAAAATGAGGTATTTTCGGGTCAGCCCCCAATTTTCAAACGTAAACACCTATCATGTGACCCCTCATTTTAAAGGGTTTCTCAAGACAAATTAAATGGCGCATACTAGAGGTCAATATCGCACCCCTAATCAAAATGGCAGCCAATTTAATTTAAGATGAGCAAGCAAGTCTGGAAACCCCCAGTTAACTTTATAACTTGTGGCAGTGGGAAAACCAAACTCGACACATGTTTACAACATAAAAATTCACTTTTTCATTAAAGTTAGAACGTGTACCCGGCCCCCAAAATGGGTTGTTTTGGGGGCAGGCCCAAATTTTCAAACGTAAACACCTATCATGTGACCCATCATTTTAATGGGTTTCTCAATACAAATTAAACGGTGCAAACCAGAGGTCAATATCGCACCCCTAATCAAAATGGCAGTCATTTTGAAATATCCCCTATTAACTTTTTAACAGGTTATAGCAGGAAAACTAAACTCAGCATACTTTTATAAAAAAAGAAAAAAATTCACCTTTTGGTCAGTATTAAAATATTAAATTTTTAAAGTCATCTTAAATAATTAAAATGGCTGCCATTTTGATTAGTGGTGCGATATTGACCTCTGGTTTGCGTCATTCAATTTCTCTTGATAAACCCTTTAAAATGAGGGGTCATAAGATAGGCGTTTACATTTCAAAATTTGGGACTGCCCCCAAAATACCCCATTTTAGGGGATTGGAAAAATTTGTAACTTTGATGAAAAAGTACAATTTCTTATATTGTAAATATGTACCGAGTTTGGTTTTCCTACTGCAACGCGTTAAAAAGTTAACTGGGGGGGTTCCAGACTTTTGCCTAACCCTGTATGACGTCAGCCGAGAGTTTCGTCAAAGATCACAGACAAGACACGTAAAGAAAAATAACATGCCAGGCTTGTTGCCATTGTGTTTATGTTTACCAGGTAGCATTTGGCCAAACAGGCTCTATTTACATGAACTATTTAGAGCTGATCGGAGGTTGGTGAGTAATGAATCTGAAATTACCAGCAGCTCAAGGGCTAAACTATGCAGTTTGATTAAACCATTTATGAAAGATTGTAAATACCAACCTTAAGTGGTGTCACTAATTCTAGCAGAATTAAAGTGGCTTTCACGAAGGTAAATAATATAAATCTAGTAATTGAGCAAAGCTTACAATCCCTAAACGATGACAATTGTTTGGAGTTTAAAATTTAAACTCCAAACAATTGAGAAATGCCAAACGTTGTTTTAAACTGAAAATCCAACTGTCATTTCCATGTTCAGCAAAGGTCATCATTCAACATTAGACAGTTAAGTAATTTTGCAAGTATTCATCAAACAAGTTGTTTTTTATGTTGTATGTAATCTTCATTTAAATTTTACTCTTTCCAGCAATAACCTATCTTAAAACAAGATGTTACGCTAATATGAATAATACATTAAGTTGCATAACATTGAATTAAATATTAGGGTAAAATGTTAATCGTTATTTACGCTAGCATGGTATATATTTACATGCATCCTGGCAGTATAATTATGGTGGAAATTGAAGTTTTAATGTAAAATACTTAAGATTGTCAGTATAATTTAGGACTACTAGTTTACGTATTTCAGTTTTATACAATGTAGTTTTAATTTCAAACAATAAAAACTCCAGCTAACTTCTTTTTTTATTTACCGCATTCAAAACTATAGTTTCATAAAAACACACCTATTATGATTCAAGAATTATTACGTTCAACAAAATATGGCTCAATTAGTACCCAAAACCAGAAAAAGGAAATTAAGTTGTTCTAAAGCTATGTGGCAAAAATGAAACCTCGAATGTATGAATATTGCATTCAATATGTTGTATAACAATTAAAGGGTTGGTTGGACACAGTGTTAAATTAATAATTACATTAAGAATATAATAAAGTAATAAATAAACACACACTTTACATTGCATTGAAATAGACCCTTTCAATAATGACATTAAGCTTCGTTAACTAAGAGCTATGTAATAAAACAGTACCCTTGCTGCTATCCTTATTTACTTTAACAAGATACTTTAACAATGTTTGATCATTAGTGAGCTTCTGGTATAAATATCAATATTTTACTGAACGACCTTTCCCAAACCAATCTACCTGATTCTTTAACTCTTTTAACGTCGATGATGCTTAGGAAAATACATTGTGCACAATGCCTGTGTTAAAAAATGCTAACATCGATATTTGAGTGAACTTGATTGTTCTTCAACTTGAGGAAACCTGATGCCCATTGTTTGCAAAAGCAAATAAATCAGAGTTAACCACCATCAAACCCTTAAGGGACCTGACTTCCCTACTTAATCAAAGATGCGGTTATCCTGCTGAATACCTTTATGTTACTGGTAGTCTTTTTTGGCTATAGTGTTTTAACAAGCAACCAAGTTCTGAAAAGATAAATCAATTATGGGGATCTTTAAAGGATTTGGGAAATTAAAAGAGCTGTTAAGAGGTTCTTAATCATAATCAGAGGCTTAATATGTTTATCAGTGATATCCAGTGGTCCAGTTTTATGCAAAAAATTACAAAATACAATAGAAACAACCAGATTGTTTATTGTTCGTTATTTTTTACTGTCTTAGCCATAATTTAATATATGTTCATCAACAATGTCTAAACATTTGAGGCTGAGTATAGTAAAAACGTCAACGGTTTAAGAGTACAAAGAGGTGTCTTGTGTAAAAGAATAAAACACAATGAATACCTTATTACCTTCATTGTACTAGCTGGCTGAAACGAGTTCTCTTTCACATTAGCGAGTGTAGAAACCCCTTATTAAAATCTTTTGAGTAACAGGTGATAAACTCCACACAAGTTTGTGGGGATTTAAGATAACATTCGCCGATCTTCTGGCACCAACTTTGATGAAAATTTGCCCCTCTCCAAAGTAGTTACCGAGCGAAACTAACTTCAAGGTGCTCTTTGATATCTCGTGGTTGGAAGAGTAAAGCGTAAACTGAAAACTCTTTCAGTTATAGAGAATTTTAATGAGTTATTACTTTGTATTTCAAGAGTATTAGCTATGGCTTGGATATCCTTTCCGCCTTGAGAACTGCTCGGGTGGTGTTTAATGTACCGTAGTCGTCTTACTCTTGGGTTGATATTTCAAACAACTTCGGTATCATTGTACAATGTTAATGTTAAAGAGCTTTTGAAGGCATATACTGTTGATATTATAATGTCTTGATTAGAATTTTCGTCTTGGTGCTATTGCACGAATATATAAATACGTCTTCCAACACTTTCCGATATCCTTTCATCTTGCAGTAAACACACCGTTAATAGAAATTGAAAAATTTTGAAGGGTAATCTTAGATTTATTCGGCCAAATTAAGTGTTGTAGTATAACTTTGATTACTGTCAAAAGTTGTTGTATTCTGACACTTTCATTGAAAACATAAACAACACAGTACTTATTTATTTATATAATCAATTTCAGCCTTTTATATTTATAAATTATTTAGTTATATTTATAAAAGTAGGCCTACTGTGTTTTTTTATGTTTTCTAAGGTATTATATGGTCCCCAAAAGAATTGAGACAACTCAATCAAACCCTTAATCTTTTGACTAAGGATTTGATAGAGTTGTCTGAATTCTTCTGGGGACCAAATAATACCTTAGCATAAGGACAGCATTTTGACATTCTGTCTCCAAAAAACTTAACTAATGTCTTGGGCCTGATAATGACCAGTTTAAATGGCTGAAATTGATAGCTCTTTTAAAACATGTTATACATATTCATCGTCTTGAAAATGTTTGCGGTGTAGCTATATCGGAATGTGTTGGATGTTTAATCTTCCTTTATATATAGTAGCCCTATTATTCTATGTTTCATATTAATACCAAAGTAATATTTTTACACCTTAAGATAAAATAGCTGATTCCTTATATGGGAAATTCGCTAACGAACACCCTTAATAACTTTATGAATGCTGACATTTAAAATATATTTATTATTCTTGAAAATATTGTCAATATTACCTAGATAAGTTTAAATCCAAACAAATACCGATCTATGAAATGGATATTGGTCATAATGTGTGCTTTGCTGCATCACGGTACGACGTGTCTCAGTTATTCTTATTCTCCCTAACAACTGTCTAAATCGACATTTTGATAATTTTATGAACACTTTACTTTCTTTTATGACTGAAGACATTCAAATTATTATCCTTATACAAGAACTAATCAATGCCAGCAAAACATTGATCTAAAAAACTCTGTTAATGATGTGATATTTCGGGAAATGTTCATTATGCTTTGCTCCAGTGCAGTGTGTATAACATTTCTAATTCCCCGAACTGTTATATTAACTGTCTAATTGACAACAGTGCTTGGGGTGCATAAACAATTATTTGCACTTCTATGTGATTAACCGATATTACCAGTGTATAGGTTTAACTTTTGTTAGCTTTGTTACTTGTTTAGCTATGACAAACTAAAAATATAAAGTAATGGACCAGCGAATTTAACGCAATTATTGTTTTGCAAATTAAGAACTGGTATGGTGTTTTGATTCGTGATTTTATTTACATTATTTACTTTATCTGTACACTATCAGTTTTTAAGATGTACGCTTCGTTATCTTTGAAATATTATTTTTAAATGCTGATATAGTTATTGTTGTTTGGAACTCCATTGTTTGTACTAGTTGCAAATTTGAACAAACAAGGAGTATGAATTATTTTAAGACCAAAGCCCTAAAGCGAACAAACATTTAAACACGGAGGTTAGAACTTTTAACAATTAGGTTTGGTTAAAACATAGTAAGACAGCAGGTAACCAACAGGAACATTCGCGTATATAATATGGAGCTTTGTTATTCCAAACTAACTGTCTGACGTGACATCAAAGGAGAAATGTGTACCGTCAAAAGAAGAGCGAACTGGATAATGGACTTATTTAACTACCTTCGTGGCCAAAATCCAATTTATACTTACGTGTAACGCAATAGTAAATAGCCATCACAACTCAAAAGATACTTCATCATTGACTATTTATATTCTTACTAATATTGCTACACAATCAATATAAAGAAATATTGATATTAATGTTTTACAAGTGATTTCAAAGATGCTGAACATATTTGTTATGAAGGTAAAGTAACCTTTCTCTTGGTAGAAGAGATCTTGAAACAAAAAGAAATCTAGAATAAACAGTACGCTGTCCAATTCCTTCGTTATGGAATAAATTGTACCTTGTCAAAAGGAAACAATGATATAAGTCTTATTATGTAATCTTGTCAAGAACCCCTTACATTGTTTATTCCTTGTTATGGTACATTTCACTGTGGTAATATTAATACATAATTTATCTACCAACATATTAAAACTACTTATTCTTATTAAGAATAATTGTACATTGAAACTTTTGATAAAACTGCACTTATAATGTTGCCACCTTCAAAACAGTACATAAATATAGCAGATAATAATTGATTATCAATTTCGATCGCACTTTCATATGAGATGTTCTTGATCAAAGTGTTATCACACGTTTTTCACTTAAGAGTCTTAAGAGGAACTAAGCTTAGTTGGCTAATTAGTTAAGAATACTGTACATATTTTGCTCGTGATCATAATAGTTCGTGAAATTTCTAGGAAACTATTTTAATTTCGATTTTATGAAATCACAAAACAACAAAGCAGTATCTGTGATTTTTCCCTAAGCTTACGCCAGAGAATTAAATCTGAATGTCCTCAAATAGATGTGTGTCACAGGGTTTTGGTGAATAAATTCGCTAATAGATTTCGGCATCTCTTAACAGAATAAAAAAAAAAATATAATGAAAATTAGTCAATCATAATTAACACTAAATATCAACTCAACGACAGGTACTTGAATGGATACCAAAAGATCAATTAAAACGTACATCAAATACCATCTACTCAGTTCTTTGCACGATGACATGAGAAAAGATCCTTGCAACCAAATTTAAAACCTTAATTGTCAATTACGACTACTCACCCCTCTGACTGGGTCTGTCTGGGTGTCTACTATACGTGAGCTGTAGCGAGGGCCCGACTCCACAGGCCCCACTAGCTACGTACTCTATACTCTAAGACTCACCCCTCTGACTGGGCCTGTCTGGGTGTCCACTATACGTGAGCTGTAGTGAGGCCCCTATTCTAAGAGCCCCACTAGTTCACTAGCTACGTACTCTATACTCTAAGACTCACCCCTCTGACTGGGCCTGTCTGGGTGTCCACTATAAGTGAGCTGTAGCGGGGCCCCGGCTACACGGGGCCCACTAGCTACGTACTCTATACTCTGCTACTCACCCCTCTGACTGGGCCTGTCTGGGTGTCCACTATACGTGAGCTGTAGCGAGGGCCCGACTCCACAGGCCCCACTAGCTACGTACTCTATACTCTAAGACTCACCCCTCTGACTGGGCCTGTCTGGGTGTCCACTATACGTGAGCTGTAGTGAGGCCCCTATTCTAAGAGCCCCACTAGTTCACTAGCTACGTACTCTATACTCTGCTACTCACCCCTCTGACTGGGCCTGTCTGGGTGTCCACTATACGTGAGCTGTGGTGAGGCCCCTATTCTAAGAGCCCCACTAGTTCACTAGTTACGTACTCTATACTCTGCTACTCACCCCTCTGACTGGGCCTGTCTGGGTGTCCACTATACGTGAGCTGTAGTGAGGCCCCTATTCTAAGAGCCCCACTAGTTCACTAGCTACGTACTCTATACTCTGCTACTCACCCCTCTGACTGGGCCTGTCTGGGTGTCCACTATACGTGAGCTGTAGTGAGGCCCCTATTCTAAGAGCCCCACTAGTTCACTAGCTACGTACTCTATACTCTGCTACTCACCCCTCTGACTGGGCCTGTCTGGGTGTCCACTATACGTGAGCTGTAGCGAGGCCCCTATTCTAAGAGCCCCACTAGTTCACTAGTTACGTACTCTTTACTCTGCTACTCACCCCTCTGACTGGGCCTGTCTGGGTGTCCACTATACGTGAGCTGTAGCGGGGCCCCTATTCTAAGAGCCCCCCTAGTTCACTAGTTACGTACTCTATACTCTGACACTCACCCCTCTGACTGGGCCTGTCTGGGTGTCCACTATACGTGAGCTGTAGCGAGGGCCCCAGCTACACGGGGCCCACTAGTTACGTACTCTATACTCTGATACTCACCCCTCTGACTGGGCCTGTCTGGGTGTCCACTATACGTGAGCTGTAGCGGGGCCCCAGCTACACGGGGCCCACTAGTTACGTACTCTATACTCTGCTACTCACCCCTCTGACTGGGCCTGTCTGGGTGTCCACTATACGTGAGCTGTAGCGAGGGCCCGACTCCACAGGCCCCACTAGCCACATGGTCGCCACGACACACAGCCACGCTGCCATTCCACATCATTCACGGCCATGCTTCTTCTGTCCTCTGTACTCCAGGCTGCCCATCACCACCAACTCATATCCAGTCCTCTTCTTTCTCTCCGAAAATACTCCTTTAGCATGACACTTCGTCCATCGTGTTTCAATGCCTGTAAAATAAACACAACTATACATATACACCTCACTAGAAATTATATCAAGATCATGGGTGTTTAAACAACAAATCCTTTTACCGTTTAGTAACGGTGATAATTATACGTTTTCACTAATGGAATAAGATGAAGAAAAAGATAAGTACCTATATAAAATGTGTATTCTAAACCCTTAACGGAGATATTTGAAGTGGTTTATATTATGCAATACGTTTTTCGACGTTATTGGCGATTGCTTGTTTATCTTCATTCGCACATTTTCATAAAATTTAGTAAAGACTTTTATTGCCTCATTTGCTGTTATATTTAAGTACAACTGTTTTGTTGTCTTCATAGGAGCAAACCCAACTAATCATTTGGGCTTGGATCTAAAGTTGAAATTCCTCTTATTATGAATTTGTTTAAATAAATACTGATGAAAACAACACACAGTCTTGGATCGTAATTTTGTTGTAGCTAGGACATTTTCAAATCTTTGATGGAGTAGGAAATTTCCTAATTTTATTTTTTTTATATGTGTACACCAAAATTAGTAGACCTAGAATTAGTAGATTGGGACCTAGAGCTGAAGTGGAACCACCATCCTGAGTTCTACCCTTATGTTTCCCCCTTCCTTGCTACATATTTAAATGGTATTTGGAATAATTAGGCCCACATACACACTTACCAGTCAGTTAAAAATGGAAACAACTCATACTACTTTAAAACTATTTTTTACTTGTTCTATACAAACATAACAGAATACAATATTGTTAAGTTGTTAATATTGGTTGGGTATAGGTAGTCTACTCAAATATTTGCAATGGTTAAAGGATAGTTTTATAAAGTTAAATACCAGAAAAGGCACGGTTAATTTAAGGACCATGTGTATATGAGTTTCATTTTGTGATAATTTGACGCATGTCAATGCCAGGAACTTCATCAAGGAAAGTTGACGCAGCCCATCTCCGTTTGAACGGGCATTCATCAGGGATGCAGCTTGACCCTAATCCTTTTTCTTTTGGCGTTGGATAAAGCTTTTAGGAGGACAATTGATGGTAGTTGACGAGGAATTTAATGGAGACTGCACAGACGTCTTGAATATCTGGATTATGCAGATGATATATACCTGCTTTCACAGAGATACACGGATATGTAGTTGAAGTTGAATACGCTGAAGGAAGTAGCTGACGCGGCGGGACTTAAAATAAATAAACGGAAAACCAATGTTCTGAATATGAATGCCGAAAACAGACACGCTCTAAGCTACGATTGAGAAGAAATAGAGGAGTCGACACGTTTTCTTACTTGTGAAGTGTTGTTTCAACAAATGGAGGAGCTAATGATGATATCAAAACTCGCATTAAAAAGCAAACGCCACCTTTGTACAACTAGCTGCAAGTGTTCATCAATAGGTGTATTCGCCGCATCATGAACATTAATTGGCCAGAGATCCATTACAAAAGGAGATTTTTGGAGAGAGAAAAAGCCAAATTCAGGTCAAACTGCAGATTCGAGAGAGGAAGTGGATGTGGTTAAAACATACACGAAGGAAGTCAGACGGAACCATTGAGAAAGAGGCACTAGATTGGAACCCGCAAGGTGTCTGAAGAAGAGGTCGACCCTAAGAAACCCGGAAGAGGACCATTATTAAAGAAGCAAAAGGGGTTACCAAGACTTGAGGAGAAGTTAAGGCACGTGCTGGAGATAGGGGCTAATGGAAAGCTCTTCTGGATGTCCTATGCTCCCATAGGAGATAAAAGGAAATGAGTCAAAGTAAGCCAAGTGAATTGGAGTGATCTAATTGAAAGGAATGCTACCATTTATTTATTATTTTATGAGACAGCATTTTACTTCATTGTTCATATTTAGTTTAACAACTAAACACATCATATTAGTCAATGAATTACTTTTGACTAACTATATATCCTCCAGCCTAAATGACCAGGGTTATTGGCCTTGATAATTTGTATTGGCTTTATAAATTCTGCAAATAAGTTTTTACCAGTAATAAAACAAATTTTTAACTTATCAAACAAATTCAGATTGTTCAAATAATCCATATATTTATAAATAAATATCTTAATCGACCAATTTAAATTGAGTTATTGACATTCATACATGAAGGGTTCAAAGAATAGATCAAATAATTAGTCATATCAATCAACAAATGAATATGTAACACTAGATTTCAGATAATTATGATAAACATAATTTTTTTAAACAGTGTGTGTGTTTATGACGAGTCCTGGACTTTTCTTTTTCGTTTAAGATAATATGTACTATTATTTTAGTTACTGACAATTGATTTTATGGTTAATCAAATTTGCAATTGGAGTTTCTGAACTACTCTGACTACTCCAAATTAAAACTTAATCAATTGTGTAATTGAGTACATTAGATGTTTATTGAAATGAAATTATTTTTCATTTTATTTAAAACAACAATGCAAGTTGGGGGAAATCGTACCAATCTAAACATCTTATAATAGAGAGAGGTAAGCAGATGTGTGAGCATAGTGCTTGCCTCACGATGTGGAGTTTTCTGGTTCGATCCCATAACATAGTCGGAGACCTTTTTAGTGGTTGAAATGTCTTTCATTTTGGTAGCTATTCGGTTAATAGCTACTGGGTTTCAGCCCATTTGTTTGAGTAAGTCGGTGGCTCCGTCGGTAGCGTCACCTTTGTATAGTTCGGCCGCTTAGAAAACGACCTGCGCTCTAATGCTAAACCAATGCTGGAGGAGGTCGCTTTCTAAGCGGCCGAACTATAGTAGTTCACCTTTGTACTGTACCGGCTCACTCCTTGCTTTGCTGTAAACGATCCACGCACGGGCGCTTAGTCTATGTGGCCGGGCAAATGCAAGGTTAAAAGAGGCCGCCAACCTCTTTAAAAGAAAAAACCCCTATCTTAAACAGCTGGCCTTGGTCAGTAGACCCTACACAAGGCTTTTCGCCCTTCCTGTGCTCATCATTTGGGGGAAAAGCCTAACTCGCGTCCCTTATTAAAATATTGATGTAGGAATCTAACTATGATTACAGAGTCTCTGGTGACATGATTCAGTCAAGTTATCCACAAGTGACCTAAATTGATACATTTCATAAACACATCTACTTCTCAAAGCTCAGTAAAATAGATGTGGCATTTAAGTCCAAATTTGAGATACATTGTTGATAAGTTATGATAACCGTATCTAAAACGGTCGGTTTATACCATCTTGTCAAGTGTAATCTAAACCGTTCTGTTGATTAAATTAATGCGGAGACAGCCACCACTCCCCCTTCCCGACCCAGCCCCTTGTGGCCCATTTACCTACACACAATTAGTTTTACACCAACTTGTACTTCTCTGGAGAATCCCGACAAAGTTTAAGATTATGAATAAATTACCCAAGTTATAAGCAGGATAATGTTCAGATTGATTACCATTCTTAATTTTGTTTCCTTAGATGAAATAAAATGTCTCGTGTAATTTATATCTATTCTATCCATGGAACCCTGGATTCTAGAACTTTGAAATTATATTAGGTCCACGTTTAATAGTTTAGTTACACTAATTTGATAAGTTCTCCAGTTCCAATTCTATTTTGGACCTCAAAATTAGTGAAGAGGAAAATTAACCATTATATTCTATTAATTTACCATTTCCTTTTTTATAGACTTCATGCGCCATGAAATATAATTTTATGTAAATAAAATTTTATTTTAGATATTGTTGACAATATTAATACAATTTTCTATAAAACTCTTAAGCTATTTAAAATATGGCAAGAGCAACAATAACAATGCATATACAAAGATTAATAAAAAAGATTTTTACGAATTTCCATATGCATTGTGTTTATTCACAATTTCACTTGGTGGGCAAAATAATAAACAATTGACTAGTTTGTTCACAGGATATCCAATATAAAAAGGGGTTTCAGAGTATTTATTAAGCTCCAGACTAAAGTAAACTATACATCAATTCCAATGTAAACCTCCTGTCGGCCTTGGAACAGAGAGTGAGCTACTCTAAGCTTAAGGTGTTATCACTAGCATATACTTAAACATACTTAAACTATAACAACATTAACCTATTGGTCCCATCACATATTATAATTCAAACAACTAATATATAAAATACCCCACCACAGCAAACCTGCAGACTAAGTGAATTTAAATTTGCCTGATTGGATTTTTTACTAAAATATTTTCATAAACAAGACATATTTATTCCTTTTCCGGTAGAATTAGATTTAATAAGTGCTTAGCATTTCTGATACGGGGAAGGTAAAAAAAAACTTTTTCACCATAGTATAGAATGAAATAAATAAATTTGCCTAATGTATACAACATTTCATAAACACGTAAACGACAACATTTTTCTTTTTCTCCTGGTTTACCATAGTTCTCCTTTGAAACATAATTATACTAATAATTTAAATCTTATATTGCCTTGAATTCATACGTTGTTGTACCAACTATGTTTTTAAATTATATCGCTTTCATCAAAGGAATTATTTAAAAGTGTGTCATAGTATCTCAGAATTTATATTTATTATTTAATAATTTTTATAAGTTTTTGGTGAGAAATTTACTTTTGCATCACTGTATTAAAAGTGACATAACACTTAAATTCTAATTCTAAACTCATTGTTAAACCGTTTTGTCCTTCCTTTTCATCGTTAAACTGATTCATCAGAATATCAACTCTGAGCCACTTTGTTGGAAATTTTATTTTCTCTTGGAAAAAGGAATTCTTCTGAATCTTAACCTTTCTTCCATGAAAATGCATTTCTTCTCCTACTTCAAAATGTATAAATCCTATTCAACTTATCAGTTTCTGCCTTTCTTATTGTTCTTTTCAATTTTGTTTAAAATAGAAAGGAATATGAAAGAAAGTATTAAAACATAATTCCGTCTATAGGAATATTTAGTCTCGTTTTGTATTTACGATTGTTATTTTCATTTTTCGGAAAGTCAAAAACTGTATGTATATTCAAATAATATTGTCTCCACAACTATACTAGACAGAGAC